ATGGAGGTGATCAGATTCTCTATGGGGTTCAGGTCTGGTGAGTTTGCTGGCCAGTCAAGGGACACCAACTAACATTGTATTGAAAGTAGACGCACATTTTATCAGTTCTGGCATTCCCTGTGAATTGAAACCATGACCTTGGCATTGCCAGAGCCTTGCTCTGCTGTTTGAGCTTCAGGATTCAACAATTACTGTACACATTACAACAGCTAATGCCCACTTAACATTGAAAAAAATACCTGCATGCAATTACATCTGTAATTAATTTCTGTAATTACATTTATAGTTACACTGCTGACCCATCCCTTACACCTTAACCCACCTTTAAACCTATACCATCAAACCTGTCCCTAAACTTCTATCCCACCACAATAGCAGCAGAATGTTTTGCAATACAATATGAACACAATAAGTACATTGTACTCAGTCATTTTTGATGTACTGCAAGTACATAGTAGTTAAGGCAACCTAATATAAGTGGAACCGAATCAAGTCCTCGCCCTATGTATATATTTTTTTATTATTCCTATAATCCAATAGCCTATACTTTGATGTATGTCACGATATGGAAGAAAAGATCTATTGCTACTTCTGTTTTATTGTGCACTCTAAAAAATGCCTGGTTAAATATAACCCACCGCTGGGTTAAAAAGGGACAACCCCAGCTATTGGGTTGTTTTGACCCAGCGGTTGGGATGTTTTGAACCCAACCGCTGGGTTAAAACAACCCAATAGCTGGGTTTGTCCCTTTTTAACCCAGCGCTGGGTTATATTTAACCCAGCATTTTTTAGAGTGTGACCTTAATTACCAATTGCACAGATTCCAATTATTTCCATAGTATTTTTTCATTCTATATAATTTAAAATCAAATCCTACTGTTTATTGTAAACCGCTGTGGGTGTCATTGATACTTTCACATCCCACTGTAATCTTTTAACTGGATATGTATTTTTACAATCCCACACTCTAAAATATGCTGGGTTAAATACAACCCAGTGCTGGGTAAAATAGGGACAAACCCAGCAATTGGGCTGTTTTGACCCAGCGGTTGGGTTAAATGTTTAAATGCTGGGTCAAAACAGCCCAATTGCTGGGTTTGTCCCTATTTTACCCAGCACTGGGTTGTATTTAACCCAGCATATTTTAGAGTGTGGGATTGTAAAAATACATATCCAGTTAAAAGATTACAGTGGGATGTGAAAGTATCAATGACACCCACAGCGGTTTACAATAAACAGTAGGATTTGATTTTAAATTATATAGAATGAAAAAATACTATGGAAATAATTGGAATCTGTGCAATTGGTAATTAAGGTCACACTCTAAAAAATGCTGGGTTAAATATAACCCAGCGTGATTAACTAATTCAGGTCATTGCACTCTAAAAAATGCTGGGTTAAATACAACCCAGTGCTGGGTAAAATAGGGACAAACCCAGCAATTGGGCTGTTTTGACCCAGCATTTAAACATTTAACCCAACCGCTGGGTCAAAACAGCCCAATTGCTGGGTTTGTCCCTATTTTACCCAGCACTGGGTTGTATTTAACCCAGCATTTTTTAGAGTGCAATGACCTGAATTAGTTAATCATTTACCAAAGCAAATGTTACATACTGTATTAGACAAGCAAAGCACTGAACTAGCTTTTTTCATCTAATCACATTTCAAAATTTTAGATTGCAGCATTGTTATTAATTAATCACTTGTTTTCTAGTTTACCTTTATATGCAAGTCAGCTTTGAATAAATGCATGTATCTGCTAAATAAATACATTGTTCCTTAAATTGTGCTTTAATAGCTGACTCTCAGAATGCACGTCCACAAAACCTGAACAAAAAAGCTCCCTTATTTAATTGTTTATTTTTTCTTTGTTAAAAAGTTGTTGTTAACCATATGGGGAAAAGCGAGAATTGCTTTGTTTCTCACAAGACAAGCATGTGACAAGATAGCGATAAATCCCTAGCAGCTACCATTCCCACATCCCACTTTCGGAGAGCCTGGGAGGAAAAAAGGAAGTCTAGGAGACATGCCAATTCCCTCATCCAGGAATGAGACAGCAGATGCATTCACATATCGACCAGTGCATTAATTACCAACACTTTTCCTGTTGTTGTACAGGGCAAGGCCAACTGGAGCATGTAATGGCCTAGATGGCCTTCTGGGAGAATGGGATATTATGGGAATATCGCATACCACAACTGGGAAGACACATGAGTATGGGCCATATTTTAAGCAAATTGCCTTTATTATTTGTATAATTTACCTGATTATCATGTGAGTATGTGGTAAGTTTTGTGTACCCAGTCAGCCTGGTTACCTCTTTCAATATCATTATTAGCCTCCAAACTACTAGATAAGCCTTTGGGAATTCATAACACCTCTCACTTTCTCTAACAAGCTTGAATATTTTTATTTAATTCCAGTGTTTTATTCATTTATTGGCTTATATTTTGTCACTGCATAAACAAAACTTCATACTAAATGATGGATTTACAAAATAAACTAACTGACACAGGGGCAAACATGTACACAGACAAATCATCATCGGAAAGCCTCAAGAGAAGTTTGCCACGTTTTCTGACATCTCATGAGGAAGACCAGCTTTCATCAGTTTCATTAGAGAGCTGAAAGCGTTGCCATGACAACTTATTCCCAAGACATACACTGTAAAAAGCAGCATCTTGCCTGCCAAGGACATGAAAATATCAGGTGCCTTTGGGAACCAGCACAAACATCTGCCAGATGACAACAGGATAACAACTCTCTCTCTCTCTTTCACTCTTTTGCTCTGTCTTTGTCTCTCAGTCTCATGCTCCCACACACATGCAGGAACAATAAACATAAAGATTGTCTGAGGCATGTCCATTGTGTGTTGGGTAAAGCCTGCAGTTCATTCAGATGTATGACTCATTTTTTTTATTATTAATTCAGATGTGCTGAATAGCTGATTCACTGATCACTTAAAATGCCAAAAGGCTGACTTGCTCAGGTCTGATTCAGAGCTCTTCACAAACACTTCAACACATTATTAACCAATATACAAGTCATGTCAGGAAATGGCATTAATAATAAGCAAAGAATTAATATCCAATTAAATATTATTGTGTGCCACATTATTACAAAGATTTTGGTGTGTGTTTTCATCATCCAAATTAAGTGACATTTGACAAAATGTCAAAGCATGTCATCTTTAAATAGCAAATAAACTAACGTTTTGTGAATATTTTTTACAATTAAAGGGGGAAAAAAACTACTGGTACTGTATGGTCATGTATGGTTCTTGTAGTAAAAGATTTGTACTTCTGTAATGGCACACTTGAACACTCCCCTCTTCTTTGAGAAGTTCAATGTGTTCTAATCACAGAAAAAGTTAATTTAATGAACTGATTTCTGACATAAATCCACTCTACTTCTAACTGTACATCGACATTCCTTGACTCGTTTATCAGCGTTTAGTAGCCTAGGGTGCAATACTCGGATCTTGGCAGTGGTCCTGATCCATTTCACTCCTATTAAACAGGCATAAAACAAACAGGGCAATCTCATAATTGTCCAAACCAGACAGGCCTTGTAATTGACATATAGAATGCATAAAATCCTCTTGACCCCATCTGGCTGACACTTTTATCTAAAGCAGCTAACATTGTATTGAGAGTAGACGCACATTTTATCAGTTCTGGCATTCCCTGTGAATCGAAACCATGACCTTGGCATTGCCAGAGCCTTGCTCTGCTGTTTGAGCTTCAGGATTCAACAATTAATGTACACATTACAACAGCTAATGCCCACTGTAAAAGTCTGTCAGGACCAAAAAATGTTTAACACATCTAGCATCTCAAGTGCTGTCACTCAGACCTCCTGAGCAATATGATGTTATCGGCCTTGTGTGTCTTATCTCAAAGTAGCATGGACACATAAACAAATAAAAGCCTTTGCTTCGTGATGTATTCTCTTTAATGTTCTCCCGGAGTGATTAATTTGTGCACGAGCACGCCCGCGGCAGAGAAGGGAGCTCCTGGAGCGTGGCACAGCAGTACTGCAGTCAGAGGAGCTGTCGATCAATGCTACATGCAAGATGCCTGG